GAAAACAGTGAGCACTTCCGAAAGTCCTTTTCGACTTGAGCTAGTCACGACAGGTGTTCACAAGTGCACTTCGTGCTGAGCCAGTCACTACAACATCCTCCTCAAAACCAGTACCATCCTCCTACGTACGCAGATAATAAAGGTAAATTGAAAATAAACATTGGTAGAGCAAAGTTTTTTTCAGAGTAAAATCCACACGAATGACTAGAAAAGCCCGTATTCTGATATCAGCCAGCTACCTTTTTAAAACTGACCTGTATTACGTTCCCATCATTCAATTTTAAAAACCCAAGGGCATTATTATTTCTGCTTGAAAGCGAATATACAGCATTCTTTCCACGTTCTATTTATTTTCGTGCATCCTAGTAACTCCAATGTGCTGCGCACTCATCATATTCTTCTATCGGCAATCGCGTTTTCAGGCCATGCAACAAGTTTATAGTTTATGGTCGTCAGAACAGGGTCGGAAAAAGAATCGTGAATAAAGTCAAATTATTAGGGGCGTCATACACTAATAGCCACTTTCTCTGACGGCTTTAACCCCAAACTTATTACAAGGTTATCGGACTTGTCCTCGGCTGTTTAAATCTCTTATCTGATCTGATACCCTCAATCGAAGTTCGGGAGTTCATCCGATTGCCACATTATGAACACGGAGATAGCTGGACGTTTGAAAGATTCAGCAACTCAGCTCCAGATCTGTCTTCCTCCTGGAAGGAATTCATTTTGCATCTGCTAGATTTGGCTGTTCGGCAATCCCATCATCCTGTACTCTCCTTCACAAGGTTGCAAACAGCAACATCGGCCTTTTAATGTCCTACGGGACTGCTGGCATATGCCGAACCAAGCATGAACCATCCTGGGCTGGAATTAATTTGATGAAGTAAGCTAAATATAATCCTAATATTACATCTTGAGGTAGCCAACGCATACAAAAACTGGATTATTTGCTGTTTAGTGTTCGGGCTCGCTTTGCATATTGCTTTGTTTCGAAAGCACGATAGGCACAAACTAGTCAGTTTACTTCTTGTGCGCAAGGGTTTGGTCTCTTCACTACGCCACGTTTCCAATGTCCCCACGACTGGCTGTGCAAAGTAACGTCTGCACAATTGTGTTCATATAAAACTAGGGCCATTATCATTCTCAGCCTCTTTTTTCGTTTGGCTTGATAAGCAGAAGCAGTGAAGTAGCTAGAAGGAGGCATCCACGATATGAATCCTCCCCTAATGACGCCTGACTGTTGCATGATGCGTAGACCTAACCAGACGACCATTTTGACTCGCATTCTATGGGTACTGGATGGGATACTATAAAGTTAGTTCGTAAGGTAGAGAATAGTGGGACTTAGTTGTTTAGCCAAGCATCCACAACAAAGTGCCGATGTGTTGACTCCAGAAGCAACCCAAAGCTCTGTCAGCCAAAACACTCGAAAAGTTCGAGGCGGTGGCATGTGGGTCTGCCTTTGACTTTGAAAACGCTGCGGAGAAATTAAAATGGCGCATAATAAGTCCATAGTATCCGACGGAGGCCTCAGAAAAGTCAGCTGCTATCGGTTGGAAACAACTCCATCAGATGCCAAAACTATCAAAACTAGCAGTGGACTGTCATCCCAATATTGCGACTTAAATATATAAGATCCAGAGCTAAGCACATTATCCGCATTCCAGGTGTATGTATAAATAAGGAAGAAGGATTGTCGTTAGCCCGAAACCGAAGCTTTTTTCGCACCGGGTCTAGGCTACTATGCGCATGATGGTTACGAAAATCAAGGACCGGTTAAGTCCTAGTGAGCAGTCGGGTGTAGTGTGTCGCATACCATGCCTAAAATGGCCTCGAAACTGCACAGAACAGACTGGAATCATGCTTGGATCGCGCATACACGAATACAAATTGTCTGCGTCATGAGTTTAACTGCACAGCCAATAAGATAGTCGCCCATGCCAGATGCAAGAGAAGTCGAGAAAATTGCTTTAAGTCTGCGCCGCGTAGAGGAACCCATGCAGTTGATTTATCCATCTGGCGCCGGCATAAAGTGACCTGCGCAGTCATCTCTGGATTGGCGTCACTGGTGTTTCATTGGCTCCTGCCCCACTTTTAGTTTTTATTTGCATTCTGTTGTCGCTTCTATCTCTGATGATGGGTTTAAGTAAGAGTTCGAAAGCACAGACGAAAAAAGCCCCAGTTCTGGCGACCAACGGGCCTTCTTCCATTTCCCTAAATACAGCTTAAATCACTGCAGAAAATTTGGTTCAATGCGACTGGAGCTAACCTTAATCGGAAAATATCCCCCCATGAAACCCTGTCCCAAAAGCCAAAAGAAGGGCATAGTTACGATAGCGCACCGACTGGACTCTGTATGGGTGTCATTTTATAGTACATCGGACCACAGCGTAAAGCGAAGAAAGTCCGAAGGGTAAATAACCAAAGACAGGTCCAGATGCGCCGATTGGATACGGACCATGCAGAATCTAGTGAGATTCCCCCGCTGCAAATGAACACCCTCGTCTGTGGTGATGTTGAAGCAGAGGCAAGTCAGAAGCAGGTTATGGTCCCGAAACTTTTCCCAGTCACGAACACGTTCACGCAAGTTTTGGGCAAGGTTGAGTAAGGACTCCTCGGGCACTTGCTCACTCTCTAGGAGTGGGAAAAATGGGCAAGTCCGATGCCGGTAGACGGTAGGCATTGAAAAAAGGGCCTAACATACAGGTAATAAGCGAAGCATTTTGAAACAGTTACAGTTGCTAATGTGTCTCTTGAAACACTAACTGAAATTTGGAAATATGATCTTAGTTGGAAAGGCTTAATTATCTGGATTCTACTACTCATCATTATGCGACACAATCCCAATATATCTCAATCATGCCACAATGGCGCCTTTTGAATGCACCTCTTTGCAACCTCCGGCAAAAGTCGGGATTTAGAAAGAAACTGAAACCAAAAGTAAAGGGGGAGTTCAGGTGAAGCCTACTTTCCAAGAAAATGTCCCTCCAGAAAATAATTCGCGAAGGAAAATGGAATAGCAGAGTAGGCTTGTACTGGAGGACGGATGAAACTATAAAGCCAGATCAGCAAGCGATAACGAAGTGTCCCTATTGTGTGCTCTAGCTGCTAGTTTGCGGTAGACCTAGGCTAAAATCGAAAGTTCAGTGATAAAAACGGAATCCTGATGAGAGTTGGTGTTTAGCAAAACGGAAACGATTTACGGATGTGCGCATCAATGTGATTAAGCTTTTTTGTGAGAGGTGGGTCAGGGAGAAATAAGTGTTTCGTGAAATACACGATGTATGGACTGCTGGGATCCAAACGAAAATATTAGGACTTAAGAAGTACGCACACCTTTACTTTATACATACAACCAATAGGAAGCCTGTTTTCCGGATATAGAGGAAGTCAAATTATATAAAGGTATACATTACTAAACGAACACAACCAATATTCAAAAGAAGGTTTTCTCCCTACAAGCCAAAATACAATTCTTCTAGTTTATGCTCTTCTTACTGAGACACTCCAGAGAAGTAATGAATTGGGAGTTGTGCGAGTATTCGTACTTTCCCCTAGAGGTGTCATTTAAATGGCGAATGTGCATTTTTTGGCCACGATCTAAGATGTAAGTCCTTAGTTTTTATTAATAAAACAGATTTGCTTATTTGATTAGGATAAGCATGCTATATTGGAGTGAGGTTTTTGGGTGACCTTGGGGTAATGCTTAAGAGCTAAGTCAAAATTAGCTTTAGGGTTAGGATTGGAATAAAGAGTTGTGGTTGAAGTAAAGGTTATTATTAGGGTTTTGTTCGCTTGCCAAAGGCCGTGTTCCACGATCCAACCTCTTTTAGCCAATAACCTTAGGCTTTGTTTTTCGCGCCCGTTTGTACACCGCTGTGGCGGACGGCCAAAAATGCTGTCCACCCTTCGTCTTCGAAAGTCATGCATCGTCACAGCCAATTGCTTCGGACTCGCGGACCTCAAAATGCTTGACCGACTTTCACTAGCACAGATGCGAGCTAAACTAGTCGTGGTTTCTGAAGAGCCGCTTGAATCCGCCAAGCCGCGGCAACGCATCAGGGGGGCCTCACTACTCGATACGCCCTTCGGGCCTTACCTTGCTTGCCTTAAAATCCTGTAAAAGCATCTGTCATCATCACATTTCGCAGTCACATACAACCGCTCTCCGACACGACCAGATGCAGTGAACATCAGCCCTGGCGTCGCCAGCGGCCACTGTTGCCTGAGACTGCAACTTAGGGTTCTGTGCACAATAACTCCCTCATTTTGGTGACCCTTGCCTTTTACCAACAACCTGGGATTCGACCTGATGATCCGAGTACAACCACTGCTTAGACTGCTATTCAACTAATTTGCAAATTTTGTAACACCCGAGCACACAGGGTAATTGGATATTGTGGCTTCCTACCGCTTAGGGCCGGTACTCAGATTTTCATGCACTGTAAATTCGCTAGAAACTTCGTTAATCATAACTGACATCCAAAGTTGGGGGAAGCCGATGCGAAGGTTAAAACATGGGTGTTTATTCTCAATAGACACGGAAAAGTCAAAAAGGGCTTATAAACAACCATGCACACGCTCTACAACGGCAGTCGATGGAAAAGTAGAGGTAGAGGCTACCACCGAGGCGATGATCAAACGGCGGCCCTCGCAGGAAGTGCAAACGTTAATCATCTGGAACTGGATACTGCGATCGGGAAGGGACAATAACACCGTAGATTACACCATCTTCACCCCAAACGCAAGGTAACTTCGCCTGCGCATTCAAAGAGGGAAAACCCCGCGTCACGATGATCCGCTTTAAAATTTTAAACTGCGCATCTGTTCTAGCACCCATTGAAGTGGTAAAGCACGCCTCCAGCGCGCAAAATCCGCCTTGGTTGAGCAGAGTCGCTGTGGTGAAGTCACCTGATTTGGCTGACTGGTATGCCACCAACACTCGAGAAAAGCCTATTAAACGTGGGGAGGCATAGCCAATAACAACCGTTGAACAGTGTAAACACTCCTGCTGTGCCTGTGACTCCGCAGACCGCAAGCGAAGTCAATAGAGGAGTGTTATCTGTCTGCTACTGCAGACTAGAACTTGAGTAAAACGCCATGGTTCGGTCCTCAGCCTTGTGCCATCTAAGTGGCCGTCTGGATGGAAAACTGGCGATTGTCACTGGAGCCAACAGCGGGATCGGAAAGGAAACTACCGCCGAGCTGGCCAGACGAGGCGCTAAGGTGATTATGGCCTGTAGGAATAAGGGACGAGCCGAGGAGGCGCGCAAATGGATCCTCGACTGCTACGCCGAAGGAAAGCCTCAGGCCTTGACAAAGAATGTCGCTAACGAGGATATCAAGAAGTGTCTCACGCCAGTGAAGCCAGAACAAGTAAGTAAGGAGGGGTTATAAACTTATGTATTAATATGAGTAGTGATTCGAGGTCCAGGCAACATATCGCGTGCGTCATCTCCAGGAGAGGAAGAAGAAGAGAGGCTAAATTCATGGGCCGAGGTATATTTTGACTGACGTTTCAAAA